ATATATACATTATGAACATTATATTAGTTATATACAGTGTGTGTGTGTGTGTGTGTGTGCGTGTGTCCCTCAGGTTGTGGCATGTTAATACATACTGGGCAGCAAGGTGTGCCCGCTCTCCTTCTCTGAGGAGTATTTTTAATGTGGAGAGGTCGTTCAGCTCTTTGAAATCTGGAACCAAAGAGCTGAACTTAAATTAATGTTTCTAGTATTATTTAATGTTGTACATTGTAGGAGAAAGTGCATCTCTGTCTCAACCTCACCTGTCCAACAGTGACCACATTTTCTGTTTTCTTTTGGTTGCCATGATGTTTTGTGTCTTCCTGTTTGGATTGGCAGTTTGTGGTCACTGAGCCTGTACTTGGTTAGGATCTGTCTCTGCTTTCTATCTCTGACAGTAGAGAGATATTCTGCTCATTCATAATCTCTTTTAAGGGCAAGATAACATTCCAATCTACTTTGGCTTTTAGTTGTTTCTTCCCAATGGTCCAGATAGCTTTCTTTACATTGTGCTATCATTTACTCTGATTACTGTTTGTAGAGCAGTGTTGTTGTGAGGCTGGTCAGAGTGTGTCTGAGAGGGGGCAGTTAGCCTCAGTACCAACTGACATAGGGGACTCTTTTCTGGGCTCAGCTCTTGGGTTTGGAGGGCTTTGGAGTGGAGGGTGTCTCTGGGGCTGGATTTCAGGTGGTTAAAGAAGTTGAGCATTCTCTTCTGAATGTTAATTATCAGTGGGTATCTGCCTAATTCTGCTCTACATGCATTTGTTGGTGTGTTTCTGTGTACGTGTAAAATGTATCTGCAGAATTCTGCATGTAGAGATTCTGTTGGATGTTTGTCCCAACAGGTAAAGCTCTGATGACTGAGTGGACCCCATACTTCACTACCGTACAGCGCAATGGGCTGGATGACACTATCAAATATTTTAAGCCAGATTTTTATTGGAATATGGAAATTATAACATTTTCTCTTAATTGCATATAGAGCTCTTCGAGCTTTTTCTTTTAGTGCATTCACTGCCATGTTGAAACTCCCTGATGCTGTTATGGTTATACAAAGGTAGGTATAACTCATGCTGTGTTCAATGACATGATTATTGATGGTAAACATTATGACATTGGTTTTCTTCATGTTTACTGCCAGGGCCCAGTTCTGACAGTACTTTTCTACTACGTCCAGCTGTAGCTGTAGTCCTTGTTCAGTAGGAGACAGTAGAACAAGGTCATCAGCATAAAACAGAGACTTTACCTCTCTATCTAGGAGGGAGAGGCCCGGAGCAGCACATTTATCTAACTCAACAGCCAGTTCATTTATATACACATTAAATAAAGTCGGACTTAGATTGCAACCCTGTGGAACGTCTCTTCTCTGAGGGAAGAAATCAGTTAGTTTGTCTCCAGTTTTAACCGCACACATGTTTTCCAAATACATTGATTTAACCAGATCATACATTTTGCCACCTATACCACAGTTTAAAGTCTGTAATAGAGCACTTCATGCCAAATACAGTCCAAAGCTTTCTTGAAATCAGTAAAGCAGGTGAATATTTTTCCATTCTTAGTTTGTTGTACCTGTTTGTTGATTAAAGTGTGAAGGCTATATACACTGTCGGTGGTGCGGTGTTTTGGGAGGAAGCCAATCTGACTTTTACTTAAGATTAACTGATCCTCAAGGAAATCTAGTATTCTTGTATTAAGAATACTACAGAATAGTTTACCTAGACAGCTGCTGACACAGATGCCACGGTAGTTATTAGGGTCTGATTTGTCCCCACTCTTATGAATGGGGGAAATGAGCCCTTTGCACCAGATGCTGGGAAAACATCCTGCCTGTAGTATAACATTGAACAAATGTAACACTGCACACTGCATTTCTGGGGTGCTGCTTTTGAGTATTTTGTTTCTAATGCTGTCTGGACCACAAGCTTTTCTTGGCCTCAGACATTTGATCTGTGTGGTTATTTCTTCCCAAGTAATTTCTAAATCAAGGGGGTTTTGGTTGTCTTTAATTGTTTTTTCTAATTTTTGGAGTTTTTCTTTCATAATACACTGATCTGAATTGATTTGATTGATTGGTATGTCTTTGTACAGATTTTGAAAATGTTATCTCCTGATGTCACCATTTTGGATGGGAAATGCCTGCTGTTGCTTTGTGTTGAACTTGTTCCACATATCCCAGAATTGATTTTGGTTAATGGCATTCTCAATATCTTCCAGTTTCAATTGGGTATAATTTTGTTTTTTGATCCTAATTGTGTATTTATATGTATTTAAAATTTCATTGTATCGAACGCGCAGGGCTGGGTTGTTCGGTTGGCGATGTTGATTGTTTTGCATTCTTGATCAAACCATTTGTCAGTATTTTGCCTTTTAACAGGTCTCCGTCTTTGCTTTATGAGGTCAGCCCTAATAGCTGCCTTATGAAATATCATATTGATATCCTCAATGGCCTTGTTTACCCCATCTCTGGTAGGGACATATTGATTTTGAGTATATATTGATATGTAATCTCTGTCTCTCTCTCTCTGTCTCTCTCTCTCTGTCTCTCTCTCTGTCTCTCTCTCTCTCTCTCTCTGTCTCTCTCTCTCTCTCTCTCTGTATGACGTAACACTGTACATATTGCCAAAGCAAGCGTTTGGAATTTAAAAATAATAATAACAATAAAGGAAAACAATATTTACAATAAATTAATTATAATCTATACTGTTGGTAATACTGTAACTATGATTGACTCAATCACAATCACAGTCACAATCAATCAATCTCAGTCAATTAGTAATTAATTACAATCAATCAATCAGTTTGTGTTCAGTTTTAACTAAAAATGTCATTAAAACAGTAGTAAAGTAACTACAGTTAAAACAAGTAGTCTGTTGTCAATGTAACAGTAATAACAAATTATTAAATAAAATATATATAATATTAAAATATATTAAAATTAAATAGATAGATAAAACTGTAAACGTGTATGTGTGTGTGTGTGTGTAAGAGAGTGTGTGTGTATATATATTATTAAAAAAAAAAAAACTAAAACAATCAATTATTTTATACATTTACAGAGTTTCCACTGGTCGTCCTCAGTTCGTGGCATGAGGAGACATATTTTGCTGCAATAATTTGACTTTTGGGCATTTCTCCCAGTAAATAGGGGAGTTTCTGTGTGTCTGATAATAATTTGAATTCGGGGTATATTTGGGAAATGTTTGCGAATTGTTTTTCTCTTAAAGTTTAGAATTTAGGGCATGAGGTTAGAAAGTGCAGCTCTGTCTCTACCTGTCCTCTGTCACACTGGGAGCAGAGTCTCTCCTCTTCTGGTAGCCAGTTCTGTCTGTGGCGACCCGTTTCTATGGCCAGGCTGTGTTCACTCAGTCTGTACATTGTCAACATTTTTCTTAATTTAGGAATTTTATTGTGCTGAGGGAATTTGCCAGTGTGAATTCTCTTTTTAGGGTCAGATAACATTGTAATTTACTTTGTGTTTTGGTCGTTTCTTTCCAGTGTTCAATATATTTTTCTTTTTGCTTGTTGATAATTTGGTTTGGTCTGATTGAGTTGGTGTTGCTGTCCTGAGGCTGTTGGGGACATGTTACTGCAGAGAGCCTCAGGACCAGTCTGGCTGAGGGGACTCTTCTCTGGTTTCAGCTCCTGTTAGGGCTTTGTGATGGTATGTCTGGGGGTTAACTGATTTTAAGTGATTGTAAAATTGAATTGATCTTTTCTGTATTTTTAGTAGGAGGGGGTATTGACCGAGCTCCGCTCTGCACAGATTATTTGGTGTTTTTCTCTGCACCTGCAGGATGCTCTTACAGAACTCGCTGTGGAAAGATTCTATGATTGTTTTGTCCCATTTGTCAAATGCATTATTTAGTTTTGGTCCCCAAATTTCGCTGCCATATAGAGTTATTGGTTCTAGTACAAATTGGAAAATTTTAAGCCAGATTTGGATTGGAATATAGATTTTAATGTTTCTCTTTATTGCATAGAAAGCTCTCCTTGCTTTGTCCCTCAGATCTTTCACAGCCATGTTGAGGTTTCCTGTGTATGTAATGTTGAGGCCAAGGTAAGTGTAGTTTTTTGTATGTTGTAATTTAGTGGTGTCTAAATAGAAATTGTGTGTAACCTGATTTCTGTATTGTTTCTGAAAGATCATTATCTTAGTCTTTGCTGTGTTTACTGTCAGGGCCCAGGTCTGACAAAATCTCTGCAGGAGATTAAGGTGCTGCTGCAAACCTTCTTTAGTAGGTGAAAGCAACACTAAATCATCTGCATATAGCAGACCTCTGATCTCTGTGTCGTTCAGGGTGAGGCCAGGTGCCGTGGAACGCTCTAGTTGGTTCGCTAATTCATTGATATATAGATTGAAGAGAACTGGACTGAGATTGCATCCCTGCCTGACTCCCCGGCCCTGGGAGAAGAACGCTGTTTGTTTGTTTCCAATCTTTACGGCACATTCACTTTTTGTATACATGTTCTTAATCAGATCATATGTTTTTCCTCCAATGCCACTTTCAAGTAGCCTATAGAAAAGGCCCTTGTGCCAGATGGAATCAAAGGCTTTTATGAGGTCAACGAAACATGCATATACCTTTCTTTTCTTAATTCTTGATCAATTAAAGTCTGGAGGGTAAATATATGGTCCGTTGTGCATCAATTTGGCAAGAAACCAATTTGGCATTTATGCAGAATATTGTTGAGAAGAAAGTTGACAAGTCATTTATTAATGATGTTGCAGAATATTTTTCCCAGGTTACTGGAGACACATATTCCTCTGTAGTTATTTGGATCATATTTATTTACGGATTTATGAATTGGGGTTATTAAACCTTTGTTCCAGATGTCTGGAAAAGCTCCAGTTGACAGAATAGTATTGAATAGTTTTAGTATAGCCAATCTGATTTTATGGTCTGAGTATTTGATCATTTTGTTGAGGATTCCATCAATACCACAATATCTCTCTCTCTCTCTCTCTCTCTCTCTCTCTCTCTCTCTCTCTCTCTCAGTGTGAGCTGCAGCCATGTTTCTCTCCTGAAGCCTGTGTGAACACTGTGGGGGGGTTCAGCTGTCAGCCCTGCCCTCCGGGCCTCTGGGGAGCACCGCTGGCTGGAACCGGACTGGACTATGCCAAGACGCACAGACAGGTCAGATAAACAACAACCATTATATCTGTGCCTCTGTGTACAGTTAATATGTCGTCAACAACAACAACAACAACAACAACAACAACAACAACATCTCCTTCCTTCTGCATTTTGAACATTGTTTCCATGTGTACTGGCTGCAGTCTTCTTCTCTGTCTGATATTATTGGCTGTTGCAGCAGATGTTGGTGTGTTAGCGCCACCTGTAGGTCAGAGGAACCATCAGGAGGACTGTTCACCTTCATCCACCAACAGGAACCTTTAAACACTGGTTCTTGTTGCTCACTCACTTGTCTGTCTCTCTGTCTGTCTGTCTCTCTGTCTCTCTGTCTCAGGACTGTGTAGATATTGATGAATGTTTGGATCTCCCCGACGCCTGTGTATCAAACTCTGTGTGCATCAACACTGTGGTGAGTTTCATGTTCGCAAATACACACTGATATATATTCAGTATATATATATATATATATATATATAGGCTACAGTATATACTGTATATATAATGTATAAGCTATATATGTGTGTGTACGTATATATACACAGTATATATACACAGTATAAACATATACTGTGTATACTATATATACAGTATAGTACTGTCAGCAGTGAGGCGGCGCCCCCAGTGGACACTCTGCTGTAACACACGTCTTGTCCTCTCAGGGTTCATATAAGTGCGGCGGCTGTAAACCCGGTTTCCTCGGCAACCAGACATCAGGTTGCTACCCCAGGAAGTCGTGTGCTGCGTTGACCTTTAACCCCTGTGACACCAATGCGCACTGCACCATGGAGAGGAACGGAGAGGTGGCCTGCAGGGTGAGTACTGGACTCAAAGCAATCTGCCATATAACCACATTCTGCATATCAGCCTGCATTATTATGTTAATCACAGGTTTAATAACAGCCCATAATAACTGCTTACATGGAGGACAGGAAGGGATTGTCTACATTGGAATCACAAACTCTCAAGCTTTTTAACAGAAATACAAGAAATGATCTGAAATCGTTTCAGTGTTTGTTGTGTTTGGAATCCGTTCACCACTTTACCTCGCTCACAGGATCCATCTACGCTCTCGAAAGCCACCAGACTCCTTTTACAAAACCACTCATTTTACCTCACAGAACACAGAAGTTTCTGGTCTCCTGCTGCCTCCATCTGCAGTGACTAACGATAGTTTGGATCCACGTTAATGTGTTAAAACTCCACAGTCACACAATAACACAGACACACCAACAGATGGAGGCAGCGGTAGAGCAGGAAGTCTGTGTCAACTTCAAAATAAAATGACTGTTTTTATCAAAGGAGTCTGGTGGCTCCGCGTCAGAAAGGACATATGTTGTGATTTTCTCTTTAATATGGTTTAAATGAACAGACCTTCCTCCATCCATTCACTCATATTGACTGTGTGTGTGTGTGTGTGTGTGTGTGTGTGTGTGTGCGCAGTGTAACGTGGGTTGGGCTGGTAATGGTAACACATGTGGAACAGACACGGACATCGACGGGTATCCTGACCGCTCTCTGCCCTGCATGGACAACGATAAACACTGCAAACAGGTCAGACATCTTCATCTTTATCATCATCATAATCATCACATCCTGTCCGTCCACATAAAGGCTGCGTTTCATTAGTCGTTCACTCGTTGTCTGGAAAACTGAAGTGAACTTGGTGAGATGGACCCTCGGAGGGCTGAGGGAGCGACTGAACAACGATGGTCACTCCGAGGGGGATATCACCCACAATGCATTGCAGTTTACGTCATTGCCGCTATAACGCCGAGTAAGGGCAAGTGCGTTTCATTTAAATCCCCCACTCCTCCCCCGCCCACTTTCCCTCCGCGCTCCAAGTGGCCTCCGTGCGACGTATGCTGTTAGGTCATACCAAGGGCTGAGGGTAAGTGAACGAGGGGAAGTGGAACTACTAATGGGTAGATTATGATATTGATTTACTTTGTCTTACTGAGACCTGGTTGTCCCACGAGGAGTATGTTAGCCTAAATGAATCCACCCCCCCCCAGTCATATTAATACTCACATTCCTCGAGGCACTGGCCGAGGAGGTGGAGTGGCAGCCATATATGATTCGAGCGTTTTAATGGACCCTAAACCTAAACTAAATTATAATTCATTTGAAAGCCTTGTTCTTAGTCTTTCTCACCCAAACTGGAAAACACTGCAGCCAGTTCTATTTGTTATAGTGTACCATGCTCCTGGACCGTACTCTGATTTTATATCTGAATTCTCAGAGTTTTTATCAAGTTTAGTCCTTAAATCAGATAAAGTAATTATTGTAGGTGATTTTAATTTTAATATTCATGTGGATGTTGACAATGACAGCCTTAGTAACGCATTTATATCATTGATAGACTCAATTGGCTTCTGTCAGAATGTAAATAAACAACTCATTGTTTTAATCACACTCTTGACCTTGTTTTATCATATGGCATTGATATTGAACATTTAATAGTCTTCCCACATAATCCTTTCCTATCTGACCATTATTTAGTAACTTTTGAATTCATACTATTAGATTATAAGCCATTAGGCAAAACTTCCTACAGCAGATGTCTATCTGACAGTGCTGTAGCTAAATTTAAGGAGGAGATTCCTTCAGTGTTTAATTCAATGCCATGTCTGAATTTAACAGAGTCCTATAACGACTTTAGTCCCTCTGAAATTGATAATCTTGTTGATAGTGCTGCAGGCTCACTACGATCAACATTAGACTCTATCGCTCCTATAAAAAGGAAATTATTAAAACATAGGAGACTAGCACCTTGGTATAACCACCAAACCCGCCAGTTAAAGCAAATAGCTAGGAAATCTGAAAGGAAATGGCACTCTTCCAAATTATCAGAATATCGCTCAAATTGGCAAGATAATCTTAAAACTTATAGAAAGGCCCTCCGTAATGCCAGAGGAGCCTATTACTCAGCACTAATAGAAGAAAATAAGAACAACCCTAGGTTCCTCTTCAGCACTGTAGCCAGGCTGACAGAGAGTCACAGCTCTATTGAGCCACATATCCCCATAAACTTAAGTAGCAATGACTTCATGAGCTTCTTCTATAATAAAATTATTACTATTAGAGAGAAAATTAATCACCAACTGCCATCAACAGTTACCAGTGGCTCTCCAAGTTCAGGGACTTCTGTCAATGTAAACTCAGATATATATTTAGACTGTTTTTCTGCTATCGATCTTCATCAGTTAACTTCAATCATTTCTTCATCGAAGCCATCAACCTGTGTGTTAGACCCGATCCCAACTAGGCTACTTAAAGAAGTTGTTCCCTTAATTGGCACTTCTTTACTGGATATGATTAATCTTTCTTTATTATCAGGATATTTACCACAGTCCTTTAAAGTAGCTGTAATTAAACCCCTTCTTAAAAAGCCCACTCTTGACCCAGGGGGTTTTAGCCAACTATAGACCGATTTCTAATCTCCCCTTCCTCTCTAAGATTCTGGAGAAAGTAGTCGCCAAAGAGTTGTGTGACTTTCTACATAACAATAGTTTATTTGAGGATTTTCAGTCAGGATTTAGAGTTCATCATAGCACAGAGACAGCTCTGGTTAAAGTTAATAATGACCTTCTGATTGCTTCTGACAATGGACTTGTCTCTGTACTTGTATTATTAGATCTTAGTGCTGCATTTGACACTATTGACCATGATATTCTTTTGAGCATCTAATTGGCATTAAAGAAACCGCACTAAGCTGGTTTAAGTCATATTTATCAGATCGTTCGCAGTTTGTACATGTTAACGATGAATCTTCAATAAATACCATAGTTAGTCATGGAGTTCCACAAGGTTCTGTACTTGGACCAATACTATTTACTTTATATATGCTCCCTTTAGGCAACATTATTAGGAATCACTCCATTAACTTTCACTGTTATGCAGATGATACGCAGTTATATCTATCAGTTAAGCCTGATGAAATTAATCAATTATCTAAATTACAAACATGTCTTAAGGACATAAAATCCTGGATGACCTGCAATTTTCTGATGTTAAACTCAGAAAAAAAAGAAATTCTTGTTCTTGGCCCCAAAAACCTTAGAGAATCATTGTCTAAAGATATAGTTACTCTAGATGGCATTACCTTGGCCCCTAGCACCACTGTCAGGAATCTTGGAGTTATCTTTGATCAGGATTTGTCATTTAACTCCCACATAAAGCAGACCTCTAGGACTGCCTTCTTTCATTTACGTAATATTAGAAAAATTAGACACATACTATCACAGACAGATGCAGAAAAACTAATCCATGCATTTGTTACTTCAAGGCTGTATTACTGCAACTCTTTATTATCAGGTTGCCCCAATAAGTCCATTAAAACGCTCCAATTAATTCAGAACTCTGCAGCACGAGTACTGACATGAACTAGAAAAAGAGATCACTCTCCTGTACTAGCTTCTCTGCACTGGCTCCCTGTAAAATGTAGAATAGAATTTAAAATCCTCCTCCTCACCTATAAAGCTCTTCATGGTCAGGCCCCTTCATATCTTAAAGAGCTCATAGTACCCTATTACCCCTCTAGAACACTACGTTCTCTGAATGCTGGGCTACTTGTGGTTCCTATAGTCTCTAAAAGTAGAACAGGAGCCAGAGCCTTCAGTTACCAAGCTCCTCTCCTGTGGAACCAGCTTCCAGTTGTGGTTCGGGAGGCAGACACCCTCTCCACATTCAAGAGTAGGCTTAAGATGTTCCTCTTTGATAAAGCTTATAGTTAGGGCTGGATCAGGTGAGTCCTGAACCATCCCTTAGTTATGCTGCTATAGGCCTAGACTATCGGGGGATTTCCCATGGTGCACTGAGCTCCTCCCTTCCTCTCTCTTTCTGCACTCATTCATGTTCCATTAATGCATGTTATTAACTTCACTTCTTCCCCGGAGTTCTTGTGCTTTCTCGTCTCGCAGGTTCTTATCGATCCTGGTGGAGCCTCCTGCCATGGTCCTGCTAGACTGCCATTGCCAATACTGTTGTTGCTGTGCACCTGTCTGTCTGTCTGTCTGTCTGTCTGTCTCTCTCTCTCTGTCTCTCTCTCTCTCTCTTTCACCCCAACTGGTCGAGGCAGACGACCACCCACCTAGAGCCGGAGGATCTCTCCTAGGTTTCTGCCTTTTAACAGGCAGTGTTTCCTTGCCCTTGTTTCCAAGGTCTTGCTCATGGTGGTACTGTTGGGTCTCTGTAATTAATGTTATAAAGAGTTCGGTCTAGACCTGCTCTATTTGAAAAGTGTCCTGAGATAACTTCTGTTATGAATTGGGGCTATACAAATAAAATTGAATTGAATTGAATTGAATGAATGAAACGCAGCCATAGAAAGACCACAGCTCCCCAATAACCATCTCTATCTCCCCCTGGTGGCTGACTGCAGTATAGACTCTCTCTCTCTCTCCCCCTGGTGGCTGACTGCAGTACAGACTCTCTCTCTCTCTCTCTCTCTCTCTCCATCTCCCCCTGGTGGCTGACTGCAGTATATACTCTCTCTCTCTCTATACCTCCCCCTGGTGGCTGACTGCAGTATAGACTCTCTCTCTCTACCTCCCCCTGGTGGCTGACTGCAGTATAGACTCTCTCTCTCTCGCCCCCTGGTGGCTGACTGCAGTATAGACTCTCTGTCTCTCTCTCTCTCTCTCTCTCTATCTATCTCCCCCTGGTGGGTGACTGCAGTATAGACTCTCTCTCTCTCTCTACCTCCCCCTGGTGGCTGACTGCAGTATAGCCTTTCTCTACCTCCCCCTGGTGGCTGACTGCAGTATAGACCCTGGTAACACATAACACATTTACCATTTAAAATCTCATTGGAGAACAATAATAATTATAAATCAATCATTTATACAGACAGATTTAATGTAAATACACACACAGTATTCAGCATACAGACATTCAGCTCACTCATTGCTTTATTTCTGACTTTAAGCTCAGTTTGTGACACCACAGAACAGAACCACATCGTTAAAGTTCATTCATACATCAGCAAACCCCCCGCCACAGGAAGTCTCGCCCTAAATGTTGTGATGTTTGTCTCACATGACGTCACCTTCCTCTATCCTGGTTTCTGATTGACTGTGAGCGTGACCGTCTGTCTCCGTTCACCAGGACAACTGCATGTTTACACCAAACTCTGGTCAGGAGGACGCCGACAACGACGGGATCGGAGATCAGTGCGATGAGGACGCAGACGGAGACGGCATCAAAAACGTGGAGGTCAGACAGTGTGTGTGTGTGTGTGTGTGTGTGTAAGAGTGTGTGTGTGTGTGTGTGTGTGTGAGAGACATGTGATCATGTGACATGACGCGTCATTTGTCCCTCAGGATAACTGCCGTTTGGTCCCAAACAAAGACCAGCAGAACTCGGACAGCGACTCGTTCGGAGACGCCTGTGACAACTGTCCCAACGTCCCCAACAGCGACCAGAAAGACACCGACAGCAACGGACAGGGAGACGCCTGCGACCAGGATATCGACGGGGACGGTAAGAGACGACGTGTCCTCTGAACACACGTTTACTGAACAACTTCATGTATTTATTATATTGATTATTGGACATGCTCGTCAAACTGTTGAAGTGGAGTCTGAAGAGCATTTTGGTTTCCTTCCTAAGCCCCGCCCCTTTAGGCTCTGTGCTCCAATAACAGTTGAGCAACTTCCTCCTTTTCTGTACTTAGATATGCTATGCTAAGCTAATCTATGTTGGAAAGACAACCACTTATTGGATATGGTTGTATTGTATTATTATATTATATAGTCACATTTTAGGTTAGCTAATGCCAGCAAAATGCTAGCTACCTAGCTACATCACCTGTACACTGCGTGTGTCTGACCCGGTAAATCGGTGTGTTCAGGGATTCCCAACGTTCTGGATAACTGTCCGAAGGTACCGAACCCGATGCAGACCGACAGAGACAGAGACGGAGTGGGAGATGCCTGTGACAGCTGTCCTGAACTCAGCAATCCCATGCAGGTACAGACAGACAGACAGACAGACAGACAGACAGACAGACAGAGTTTGGGGTGGGTGTGGTCTCGTATTGTGAGTGAGGATCAATGATGCTCAGATTGTCAGCTGGAGGAGCTTTTTATTTCTAAAGATGTTTTTATGATAAATTCCTCTCAGTTGTCTGTTCTGTATGATCAATCAATCAACATCAATAATCCATAAAAACCTTTAATAACTAAAGTGATCTACTCATACATGTAAACTGATGATTTAATGATTTGAATTTAATAATAATAATTTTCTGCTGCTCATTAAGCTCTCTGTTTCTCAGACCGACGTCGACAATGACCTTGTGGGAGACGTTTGTGACACCAACCAGGACATGTATGACACATACACACACACACACACACACACACACACACACTCACACACGCACACGCACACGCGCACACACTCACACACATACACACAAACACTCACAGGAATCTGACCCCTGTAGGGACGGAGATGGTCACCAGGACAGCAGAGACAACTGTCCAGACATCCCCAACAGCTCGCAGCTGGACTCCGATAACGACGGCCTCGGTGACGACTGCGACCACGACGACGACAACGACGGCGTCCTCGACGACTATGACAACTGCCGACTCATCGTCAACCCCAACCAGAAAGACTCAGACGGTAACGGTCTGAAAAACCTCAAGAATTGTAAGAACCAGCAGCAGAGAACAAACACCAACTGTCTGTCTGTCTGTCTGTCTGTCTGTCTGTCTCTCAGTGAACGGCGTTGGAGACGTCTGTGAGAACGACTTTGATAACGATGCAGTGATGGATTTGATCGACGTGTGTCCGGAGAGCGCTGAGGTCACTCTGACAGACTTCAGAGCCTATCAGACCGTGATCCTGGACCCAGAGGGCGACGCCCAGATCGACCCCAACTGGGTGGTTCTCAACCAGGTGACCTTCGACCTCTCCTCTCTAACATGAGCACTGCTGTTGATAGACCAGTGGCCGTTCAGTGAACTGCAGTCAGCGTCCTGTTGCATCATCCTGGACGTTGGCCAACAGCGACAAACACTGAACGTAGCCAACAACCAGCTGGACAACCCCAGTTAGCTTAGCTACAGTTAGCTAGCTGGATGCCCATGCCTCACAAAGCTCTTGGCTAATAGAAAGCTATCATTAGCTTTGTATTGTTAGCATCATTTATTGTTGGCTAAAATCAGAATACATAAGTTAGTATCATGGATCACGTTAGCTGGGAAAGCTAATGTTAGCCAACTAATATATCCACTCAGATAATAATTTATTAGCCATAACGTCAGCGAGCAACTTGATGTTAAGTCTTTGATATTTTTCTGTCTGTACGTTCATTAAGCCGTCCTTAATGATGAACTCCCTGTGTTTGGACTCCAGGGTATGGAGATAGTCCAGACCATGAACAGTGATCCTGGTCTAGCAGTGGGTACGTGGTTTTGCTAGAATCTTTATTAAATCCAGGACCCAGCTTAGGTCTGCTCCTGGTCTGAGTGTAGACCCTGTCCTCCTCTGTTTGTCTGCAGGCTACACGGCATTTAACGGTGTCGACTTTGAGGGGACGTTTCACGTCAACACGATAACAGACGATGACTACGCCGGCTTCATCTTCGGGTACCAGGACTCGTCCAGTTTCTACGTGGTGATGTGGAAACAGACAGAGCAGACCTATTGGCAGTCCCTCCCCTTCAGAGCCACGGCCCAGCCCGCCCTGCAGCTCAAGGTCTGTACTCTACTGCACTCTAGTGGACTCTACTGCACTCAGGATGAATAATGAACCCTCTGTGCGTCCTGCAGGCGGTGAAGTCTCGGACCGGACCCGGAGAGTTCCTGAGGAACGCTCTGTGGCACACTGGAGACACACCTGGAGAGGCGACGCTGCTCTGGAAGGATCCTCGAAACGTCGGCTGGAAGGACAGAACCTCGTACCGCTGGCAGCTCAGCCACCGGCCGCAGGTGGGCTACATCAGGTAAGACCAGGACCTCGAGTGACTCACTATAGCAGTATATACTCGTACAAATACAGAGATACTGGAGTACAGAGTACTATAGATACTGTAGTACTAAAGATACTGTAGTACAGTGTACTATAGATACTGTAGTACTAAAGATACTGTAGTACAGAGTACTATAGATACTGGAGTACAGAGTACTATAGATACTGTAGTACTAAAGATACTGGAGTACAGTGTACTATAGATACTGTAGTACTAAAGATACTGTAGTACAGAGTACTATAGATACTGTAGTACTAAAGATACTGTAGTACAGTGTACTATAGATACTGTAGTACTAAAGACACTGTAGTACAGAGTACTATAGATACTGTAGTACTATAGATACTGCAGTACTGAGTACTATAGATACTGTAGTACTATAGATACTGTAGTACAGAGTACTATAGATACTGTAGTACTAAAGATACTGTAGTACAGTGTACTATCGATACTGGAGTACAGTGTACTATAGATACTGTAGTACTAAAGATACTGTAGTACAGAGTACTATAGATACTGTAGTACTAAAGATACTGTAGTACAGTGTACTATAGATACTGTAGTACTAAAGATACTGTAGTACAGAGTACTATAGATACTGGAGTACAGAGTACTATAGATACTGTAGTACTAAAGATACTGTAGTACAGAGTACTATAGATACTGTAGTACTATAGATACTGTAGTACAGAGTACTATAGATACTGTAGTACTAAAGATACTGTAGTACAGTGTACTATCGATACTGGAGTACAGTGTACTATAGATACTGTAGTACTAAAGATACTGTAGTACAGAGTACTATAGATACTGTAGTACTATAGATACTGTAGTACAGAGTACTATAGATACTGTAGTACTAAAGATACTGTAGTACAGTGTACTATCGATACTGGAGTACAGTGTACTATAGATACTGTAGTACTAAAGATACTGTAGTACAGAGTACTATAGATACTGTAGTACTAAAGATACTGTAGTACAGTGTACTATAGATACTGTAGTACTAAAGATACTGTAGTACAGAGTACTATAGATACTGTAGTACTGAGTACTATAGATACTGTAGTACTATAGATACTGTAGTACTATAGATACTGCAGTACTGAGTACTATAGATACTGTAGTACTGAGTACTATAGATACTGTAGTACTATAGATACTGTAGTACAGAGTACTATAGATACTGTAGTACTAAAGATACTGTAGTACAGTGTACTATCGATACTGGAGTACAGTGTACTATAGATACTGTAGTACTAAAGATACTGTAGTACAGAGTACTATAGATACTGTAGTACTAAAGATACTGTAGTACAGAGTACTATAGATACTGTAGTACTAAAGATACTGTAGTACAGAGTACTATAGATACTGTAGTACTATAGATACTGCAGTACTGAGTACTATAGATACTGTAGTACTGAGTACTATAGATACTGTAGTACTATAGATACTGCAGTACTGAGTACTATAGAGTACTATAGATACTGTAGTACTATAGATACTGCAGTACTGAGTACTATAGATACTGTAGTACTGAGTACTATAGATACTGTAGTACTATAGATACTGCAGTACTGAGTACTATAGATACTGCAGTACTGAGTACTATAGATACTGTAGTACTATAGATACTGCAGTACTGAGTACTATAGATACTGTAGTACTATAGATACTGCAGTACAGCGTACTATAGATACTGTAGTACTAAAGATACTGTAGTACAGAGTACTATAGATACTGTAGTACTAAAGATACTGCTGTACAGAGTACTATAGATACTGTAGTACTAAAGATACTGCAGTACAGCGTACTATAGATACTGTAGTACAGCGTACTATAGATACTGTAGTACTATAGATACTGCAGTACAGAGTATTATAGATACTGTAGTACGGAGTACTACAGATACTGCTGTACAGCGTACTACGGATACTATGGATACTGCTGTACAGTGTACTATAGATACTGTAGTACAGTGTACTATAGATACTGTAGTACTAAAGATACTGTAGTACAGAGTACTATAGATACTGTAGTACTAAAGATACTGTAGTACAGTGTACTATCGATACTGGAGTACAGTGTACTATAGATACTGTAGTACTAAAGATACTGTAGTACAGAGTACTATAGATACTGTAGTACTAAAGATACTGTAGTACTATAGATACTGCAGTACAGAGTACTATAGATACTGTAGTACTATAGATACTGCAGTACAGAGTACTATAGATACTGTAGTACTATAGATACTGCAGTACAGAGTACTATAGATACTGTAGTACTATAGATACTGCTGTACAGAGTACTATAGATACTGTAGTACTATAGATACTGCAGTACAGAGTACTATAGATACTGTAGTACTATAGATACTGCTGTACAGAGTACTATAGATACTGTAGTACTATAGATACTGCAGTACAGAGTACTATAGATACTGTAGTACTATAGATACTGCTGTACAGAGTACTATAGATACTGTAGTACTATAGATACTGTAGTACTGAGTACTATAGATACTGTAGTACTATAGATACTGTAGTACTGAGTACTATAGATACTGTAGTACTAAAGATACTGTAGTACACTGTACTATAGATACTGTAGTACTAAAGATACTGTAGTACAGTGTACTATAGATACTGTAGTACTATAGACACTGCTGTACAGAGTACTATAGATACTGTAGTACTATAGATACTGCAGTACAGCGTACTATAGATACTGTAGTACAGCGTACTATAGATACTGTAGTACTATAGATACTGCAGTACAGAGTATTATAGATACTGTAGTACGGAGTACTACAGATACTGCTGTACAGCGTACTCACGGATACTATGGATACTGCTGTACAGAGTACTATAGATACTGTAGTACTATAGATACTGCAGTACTGAGTACTATAGATACTGTAGTACTGAGTACTATAGATACTGTAGTACTATAGATACTGCAGTACTGAGTACTATAGAGTACTATAGATACTGTAGTACTATAGATACTGCAGTACTGAGTACTATAGATACTGTAGTACTGAGTACTATAGATACTGTAGTACTATAGATACTGCAGTACTGAGTACTATAGATACTGTAGTACTGAGTACTATAGATACTGTAGTACTATAGATACTGCAGTACTGAGTACTATAGATACTGTAGTACTATAGATACTGCAGTACAGCGTACTATAGATACTGTAGTACTAAAGATACTGTAGTACAGAGTACTATAGATACTGTAGTACTAAAGATACTGCTGTACAGAGTACTATAGATACTGTAGTACTAAAGATACTGTAGTACAGTGTACTATCGATACTGGAGTACAGTGTACTATAGATACTGTAGTACTAAAGATACTGTAGTACAGAGTACTATAGATACTGTAGTACTAAAGATACTGTAGTACAGAGTACTATAGATACTGGAGTACAGTGTACTATAGATACTGTAGTACTAAAGATACTGTAGTACAGAGTACTATAGATACTGTAGTACTAAAGATACTGTAGTACTATAGATACTGCAGTACAGAGTATTATAGATACTGTAGTACTATAGATACTGCAGTACAGAGTACTATAGATACTGTAGTACTATAGATACTGCAGTACAGAGTACTATAGATACTGTAGTACTATAGATACTGCTGTACAGAGTACTATAGATACTGTAGTACTATAGATACTGCAGTACAGAGTACTATAGATACTGTAGTACTATAGATACTGCTGTACAGAGTACTATAGATACTGTAGTACTATAGATACTGTAGTACTGAGTACTATAGATACTGTAGTACTATAGATACTGTAGTACTGAGTACTATAGATACTGTAGTACTAAAGATACTGTAGTACACTGTACTATAGATACTGTAGTACTAAAGATACTGTAGTACAGTGTACTATAGATACTGTAGTACTATAGACACTGCTGTACAGAGTACTATAGATACTGTAGTACTGAGTACTATAGATACTGTAGTACTATAGATACTGCAGTACAGCGTACTATAGATACTGTAGTACAGCGTACTATAGATACTGTAGTACTATAGATACTGCAGTACAGAGTATTATAGATACTGTAGTACGGAGTACTACAGATACTGCTGTACAGCGTACTACGGATACTATGGATACTGCTGTACAGTGTACTATAGATACTGTAGTACAGAGTACTATAGATACTGCTGTACAGTGTACTATAGATACTGTAGTAGAGTACTATAGATACTGTAGTACTAAAGATACTGTAGTACTATAGATACTGTGGTACTATAGATACTGCTGTACAGTGTACTATAGATACTGTAGTACTATAGATACTGTAGTACAGTGTACTATCGATACTGGAGTACAGTGTACTATAGATACTGTAGTACTAAAGATACTGTAGTACAGAGTACTATAGATACTGTAGTACTAAAGATACTGTAGTACAGAGTACTATAGATACTGTAGTACAGTGTACTATAGATACTGTAGTAGAGTACTATAGATACTGTAGTACTAAAGATACTGTAGTACTATAGATACTGCAGTACAGAGTACTATAGATACTGTAGTACTATAGATACTGCTGTACAGCGTACTATAGATACTGCAGTACAGCGTACTATAGATACTGTAGAACTATAGATACTGTAGTACAGAGTACTATAGATACTGCTGTACAGTGTACTATAGATACTGTAGAACTATAGATACTGTAGTACAGAGTACTATAGATACTGCAGTACAGCGTACTATAGATACTGTAGAACTATAGATACTGCTGTACAGTGTACTATAGATACTGCTGTACAGTGCAGTATTGTGTCTGTTTTCCGTCTCTTCCTCTCTTTACTTTTTACTGCATTCTTTCCCCTCTGAAACTTCTTTGTGGCTCCGGGGCCCCCCGGTAGTCTATTGTATTCATCTCCATGACAACCAAAGCCTTGGCAAGAATCCGCCTCGGCAACCGTTGATATGCAGATCAGACGGAGAGACGGAAAAACACACTGGAAAAGTTTTTCATATAAAACACTACAGTCGGAGTTCTTAGTGCCTCTTTTCTGTTAAACTTTAATGGAGAGGAATCAATCTCTGTATGCTCTGTAATATTTAAATTTGATCTCTGTTTCTGTTTTTATTAAATATTATTCAGACAGAAGGATATAAAGGATCAGTGCTTGTCGTTTGTTTCAAACTGAAGAGTTTCTGTTGAAGTTAAAAGTTCTTTGTGTTTTTGGAAACTGCAGATTTTAAAAGTCTGGACTCACATTCTTCAGTCAGTCAGTAGAGAAAGAAATAAAGGAGGAGGAGGAGAAAGTCTATTCAGTGAGCTGAAGAGAGAGAGTACAGAGGCTGAGGTCGTTCGTCCTCCTTTCTCCCCTCTCTCTCTCTCTCTCTCTCTCTCTCTCTCTTTCTCTGTCTGTGCTCTCTCCTCCCTTCGGTTTTATCTTAACTTTGGATATTTTATTGAATGTAAAGTGTTTAAGAAATGACCTCTTGATATTTACCGGCATTGTATTGATGATATTATTGATCTGATATTGTCACAGATCTAGCTGCATCATTATCAGAAATAGCAGATATGTTTGAGGTATATCGACATCAAGATAATGCTGTCATAAATAAAAGTAACTGTTTTTTACTAGATCGTCGTACAAAATACTAAAATGTCAGTTTTCATTGACTAAAATAGTTACGTGTTCTTAGACTGAAATGAAAATGCACAAACTTCTGGTCGACTAAAACTTGACGCAGATTAATAAACATAATGAAAACTAACAAGGACACCAGCAGCTCAGCCTTAATTACAACCAAATACAACACAAAATACTCCCAAATCAACCTCACCAGTAACCACAGTGGTCACCACATCAACCTCACCAGTAACCACAGTGGTCGCCAAGTCAACTCTACCAGTAACCACAGTGGTCGCCAAGTCAACTCTACCAGTAACCACAGTGGTCACCACATCAACCTCACCAGTAACCACAGTGGTCGCCAAGTCAACTCTACCAGTAACCACAGTGGTCGCCAAGTCAACTCTACCAGTAACCACAGTGGTCACCACATCAACCTCACCAGTAACCACAGTGGTCGCCAAGTCAACTCTACCAGTAACCACAGTGGTCACCACATCAACCTCACCAGTAACCACAGTGGTCGCCAAGTCAACTACTAGTAACCACAGTGGTCACCAAATCATTACCATATTTCTATTTCTTAGTTTAGTTTTTAGTTTGTTTTTTTAGGTTGCATTTGGTTTGTAGCCTGGCGTGTCCTGGTGTTGGAGCGTTTGGTTTGTAACCCGGCGTGTCCTGGTTTTGGAGCGTTTGGTTTGTAGCCTGGCGTGTCCTGGTGTTGGAGCGTTTGGTTTGTAACCCAGCGTGTCCTGGTTTTGGAGCGTTTGGTTTGTAGCCCAGCGTGTCCTGGTGTTGGAGCGTTTGGTTTGTAACCTGGCGTGTCCTGGTGTTAGAGCGTTTGGTTTGTAACCCGGCATGTCCTGGTGTTGGAACTTTCGATTTTTAACGCGGTATGTCCTGGTGTTGGAGCGTTTGGTTTGTAACCTGGTGTCTCCCTGTGATTCTGTGTTTCAGGGTGAAGCTGTTTGAGGGGACAGACATGGTGGCGGACTCCGGTGTTGTGATCGACACCACGATGAGAGGTGGCAGGCTCGGTGTCTTCTGTTTCTCCCAGGAAAACATCATCTGGTCCAACCTGCGCTACAGATGCAACGGTACGACCTCTAACCCTGAACACACAGCAGAACAAAAGCTCCGTAGTTGTTGTCAGCTAATGTTGATTAATGAATTCCTTTGTGTGTTTTTATTTCAGACACAGTCCCGGAAGACTTCCAGTCTCATCGTAAACAGGTTCTGATGCACATTCAGGTCTGAGAGGACGACGAACTTTAGCTGTAGCCTGAGTGTGTGTGTGCATTTGGGACGAGTGTGTGTTGAATGAAAGGTGGAGTTCAGGTGTCCCACTCCAGGCTGCAGGCATTCTTCTGTCGTGTTTCTCCAGACAAACATGATCTCTTCAGTTAATGTTCATGTTTATAACATTGACATTTAAAAAGACAAATTCACTGAAGAGTTCATTTCCAAAATACTGTACGTCCATTAAAGGAGCTGAAAGAGGATCCGGTCTGATGTTTCACTGTGGAATAAAACTCTTCATTTGTCTTTTGATCAGAACATTTCAGACTCAGATAACAGACTGCTGCGAAGCGATAAGCTAACGGTACAGACAAATCAAAAGTCCGTTTACATGTTTCTGTGTATTTTCAAATGTACATATCTTTCTCCGAATAAAGGCCCGTTTTCCTAAAATTGTGGTTTGTTTTATCGTCATTTTCACTCAAACTCATCTGACTCCATCGTGGAAGTTCTAGTTTAACATGTTAGAATGTGCACCGATATGATTTAGTGATAATTTTTGGTGTTTCTTTTACGCAGTGTACTTTAATGAACTCCTAGAGAATTGATCGGATCAACTTTAAATTCTGTCATTGCAATCTAAACACCAATGTGCGTGATGTGCTCTGGAGTTTTCATCAGTTAAGTACTGAAGTTACAATAACTTTCTGTTTCATGGCAAAACAACAAAATGTGCCGCCACAGAAACAGAAAGTTGCTAAAGTACTTAACTACTTAATTTGAACTTTAACTCATGAGCTGTAGCCAAGTTAATGTTACACAGCCGCTCGCGCCACTAAAGTGTGCACAGGTGCTGTTTGTGAGTGAGCGCTGTCCTTTACTGTCATCACAGTTCCTGAAAAATTATTTCTTAAAAAGAGTCGGAACCCTGAGTCATTCAGAAAGTGTTCACCTCGTCTCTGAGCTCCAGCAGCGTTTCTCTCCTGCTGTCTGGAAGTATGTGGGGGGGTCGTGGCCCCTGGGCCGGGGAGGCCGGGACGAGTGCAATATTGGAGGGGGGACATAACAACAATGCACCGCATCCCGGACCTGCCCGACCCCGGGAGGAAACACACCACACAGCCTGAAACACACACACAGGAGGACAGTTAAAATGTTCCATTCTGAAAACGTCATTCACATATGTTCATTAAAATATTATTGTTGAGTACAACAGTGTCAGACAGTAATCTTAGTCTTATTGGATGACAATAAAACGTCACCTCAAATGACAGCACAGTGTTGTTAGCAGCTTGTGTTAACATTTTCACTGATTACTGTGATACTGAATAAAACTTAAAAACATGATTCTCAGGGAAGTTGTGCAGCCATGAAGAGCAGCTGTGTCTTTATTGTCCCTTAGGGGACATTTGTTTCACATAAAAAACATCATAAAACCAACATGAAGCACCTTAAAACATGGACACAGACAGGGTGGGGAGGAGGGAGAGGGGTGAGATACTGTGTGAGGTAATAAAACAACAGGAAGTTCATTATTGAAAAGATTGATGCAGTTTGAGTCTAAAATACACGCTGACATGAAAATAGATTTTAGATTCAGTGAGAGAAACATAATAAAGATGCTCTGATTTGTACATAATGTCTCTTTTTATTGCCTAATTCATCTTTATATTGTGTTTATTGTTACGCACCAATATACCGAGGAAAATTCCTTGTATGTGAAAACCTACTTGGCAATAAACCTGATTCAGATTCTTTAGGACTGCGTTTATACAGCAGCTGTACGCAGGTGTACGGAGGCAGCTTTGGGTAAACCTGCTTCTAAATGCCCTCTGCAGCATCCGGTTGTGTTCTGTGAGCTGATTGTTGTGGATGGCAAAGACTGACAGTTGGAGTAAGGAATAATGTATATATATATATATATATATATATATTATGTAGTTGTCTCACTTTATATTCTGGAGCCAGTATAGTTTGTATAACCTGTATAATCCTGTCATAAAGATCCTGAAATTCCTGAAGTCAGCGACAGAAGAAGTTCAGTGACAATGGTCCAGATTGTTGGTGAGTTTAATATACAAGAGTAGAGTTTATACTTTGTTGGATGGCCGATTAAAATAAAACTTAGGGGCATAAATTCAGAGTACCCACACCTTCAGGCACCAGTGCAGCAGTGCATACAGCGCCTCCTGTTCAATGACTGCTCGGACAAATACTGAGGCGTCCAAATAGACACACATTGATAACCTGCAACAGAGACTTTACTTTCTAAGGTGACTGAGCTGATGTTATACTGGACAATCCTAGACATCGTTAGGCATCGTTAGATATGGAACTAGAGCAGGGTCGCCAGCACGTTCAGTATAGTTCTGAGGATAATTAAGAAAATGAGTCCGTACGGTCTGAAGGAGCAGGAAACAACAGACATACAGCCCCTTTTTCTCTGAAACCTCCAGGAAAAAGACTGAACTGAAGATACAGTTTGTCCAAACCTCCATCAAACTGCTGGACTCTACTGGACTCTACTATACTCTACTGAACTCTACTGGACTCTACTGAACTCTACTGGACTCTACTGGACTCTACTGGACTCTACTGAACTCTACTGAACTCTACTGGACTCTACTATACTCTACTGGACTCTACTGGACTCTACTGGACTCTACTGGACTCTACTGAACTCTACTGGACTCTACTGGACTCTACTGGACTCTACTGGACTCTACTGGACTCTACTGAACTCTACTGGACTCTACTGGACTCTATTGAACTATACTGGACTCTTTTGAACTATACTGGACTCTCATACTAAAACTGAGTGCAACAGAGCAAAATATACACTTTAATTCACTTTAAAGGACCAGTGTGTAGGATAGAACTGAACACTGCTCGCGTCTGTACAACATGGCGGACTCCACCAGAAGAGGAGCCGCTCCCTCTGTAGATAAAAACATTCTCAGGTAACAAACACACAACGATGTTTCTGTTCAGGCGATTAAACACTAATGAAAAAATTTCTGTGGATATTATATTATTATATTAATGTGACACACTGGAGCTTTAACGAACCCTTCACAAATGCGTCTTCGTTTTGAAGAGCAGGTTGTTGTTCTGTTCGATCACTGATAACAAGATTATAACAATAAGATTATAACAATGAGGTGATATCTGTAAAAAGGTGGTTGATGGTGTTAAAGTCCTCTGGAGTTATTTACGTTGAAATTTATTAAGTTAATTGGCAAAAAAAAAAATTTATTGTTGGTGTTTTTACTTTCTAACTACAAATTGACTTTTTTTCTATTTTATTTATTTTCTATCTGTACATACATATATTTTATATTTGATAAATAAAGTCCCTACGAATGGCTGGAAAGAGCTTCCATATATTTACTCTTCATCGTGTTGTGTTCAAGTTCTCAGGATTTAGTGAATTCTATGGGAAGAAAAATTATGGATAAAATAACCCAATCCATAAACTAAATCTAAAATTTACATTACAATAAAGTCAAGATTAAGAGACAAAAAGCCAAAATGATTAAATAAAAACTGTAAATTTGGACTTCAAATCTACTTTTTTCTATTTTCTTTTAAGTTGTTTTTATTAATCTATACATACAGACTCGACAAACTAATCAAGAAGGCCTGCTCTGTCCTGGGTTGCCCCCTCGACTCAGTGCAGGTGGTGGGAGCTATCATCACTGATGGACAATGTCTCCCACCCCATGCAGGACACCATCAGTACACTGAGCAGCCCCCCCCTCCATCTCGGCATCAATAATAATAGTTAATGTTTATATATAATATTTATATATAATAACAATGTGCAATAATTACTGTGCAATACCATTCCATACATATTCCATATGTCCATTTTTTCTCTATCCACTTTGCTGCTGTAACATTGGAATTTCCCCATTGTGGGACAGATAAAGGAATATCTTATCTTATCTTATCTTATCCAAATATTTTTCACTCTATTTGGCAACATTAGCGT